GGAGCCGGTGCAGACGAGGCGTAACGACCCGCCGGGGGTCTGGAGACCCCTCCGGACTCCACCAGTGTCATGGCCGCCCGCAGCCCTGGGGAGGGAGGAAGGAGAGAGTTGAGTCGCCGCGTCCCACCATCACCATCATCATCATCATTGTTGTCCCACCCAATGACCGCGCCCGGAGAGGAGGTCAAGATGGCTGACGCCTACCTGGCAGACATTCAGTGGACATTGGGGTCAAATCGACAAGATTTGGAGCTGATGGTTGAGTTTTGGGGCAAATGGTTGAGGTTTGAGCAAAAACATTCATGATGTGGGGCAAATGGTCAACGTTTGGGGCAAAAGGAGTCGAGATTTGGGTCAAACGGTTGATCTTTGGTGCAAATGGTTGAGATTTTGGTCAAACCCAACAGAATTTGGGCAAAACCAATGAGATTTGGGTCACATGGTTGATCTTCGGTGCAAATGGTTGAGATTTTGGTCAAACCCAACAGAATTTGGGCAAAAACAATGAGATTTGGGACAAACGGTTGGGTTTGGGGACGAAACCGTCAAGATTTTGGGAAAAACTTCAAGTTTGGGCCAAATGGTTGAGGTTTCAGCCAAAACTAGTAAAGATTTGAGGTAAATAGTTGATGTTTGGGGCAAGTGGTTCAGATTTGGTGGAAAAGTAAAGAGATTTGGGGCCAAACAATGAGATTTCAGGAAAAAACTGTTGAGCCGTGGGGCAAATGGTTGAGGTTTGGGCCAAACATCCGAGGTTTGGGGCAAAGGATGGGGTGTGGGGCAAAACCAGCCAATGTTTGGTGAAGATGATGGAGTTTTGGGGCAAACAGTTGAGATTTGGGGCAAACCCTACAGAATTGGGGGCAGAATCCATCACCTTTGGGGCAAACTATCGAGATTTTGGGCAAATGGTTGAGGTTTGGGCCAAACAATCGAGGTTTGGGGGAAAAAACATCAAGTTTAGGTGGACACGGTCAATATTTAGGGCAAACAGTTGAGTATTGGGGTAGATGATGTAGATTTGGGGTGAAAACAGTCAAGAATTGGGGTAAGGAGTTGAGGTTTGGGGCAAATGGTTGAGTTTTGTGGCAAAACCAGTCAAGGTGTGGTGAAGGTGGTTGAGATTCTGGAGCAAACGAGTGAGTTTTGCGCAAAAATGTTGGAGATTTGGGGGAAATTATTAGGGTTTGAGTGAAAACAGTTGAGAACTGGGACAAATGGTTGAGGTTTGGGAGCAGGACCTGAGGTGGGTATGGGGACCCGGATGGGCACAGGGGTCTGGGGACATTGGGGACACGGGGGTCGATGAAAGCAGCACCAGCACCACCAGTACCACCACCATAACCATAAGCACCTTTGGCGCAGTAGTAGGTG